TCAATGCAATCAATATTGAAGTCTAATCAACTATTATAAGTTGTTAAGTCACTAATGCTCTTTCCTAAGTTAAATCACTTGGAAAGTTGCAGGGTTTGACACTACTAATAATTGTTTTATTGTTAATGTTACCTTTGAATGCCAGAATGGAAGATTCCCTAAAACTGATTTTTTAAGTATATGATAGCAATTTTACTTATTTATTTATTAATTTATTTTTTTAAATATTTGATATTTGGGTTTGTTCCGTGTTTATTTGGTTTTGATCGTAGATCAAATTTTGTTTCCTAGTGTTTGAATAGTGACTATAAAATAGATATAAAGATTTTCATTCGGGATAATGATCTTTAAGTAAAACGTGAGACAATTATAGATTTGGGAGATTTACCTATTAAGTAAGTTCTTGGTTGAGATGAAAAAGTTAGTGCCACGAGCAGCGGGATTCGAACACACGACCTTCGGCTGGTTCGGTGGGCTTGAACCCCGCTCGTGACACTAACTTTTTCATCTCAACCAAGACCTAACATAAAAAGAATAATTAATTGAAATAAGTAATTTGGTCAATTAGACCACTGAACATAAATGGATTACTATTAAGGTTGAAAGTATCCTGGTACGCAGCATTTTATTTTTTGTTTCATGTAATCTTGTAAGGCAACAGCGTTCCTAATCTTCCAAATTTACTTCAGTTTATACCAGGCTGTTCAACTAACGTTTTGATAGATCAAAGAAAATCCAATATCTAATTGGTTGCATGTACAAATTCAATGAGAAAAATGTATATTTGCGCCCAAACTCTGGGAATATCCAGTCTAGTGTAGTAGACCAGAAATTTAAAGGAGGCTGATTAAAAGAGATTGTGTGAACATCCTGAAGCTGTTACGAGGAACTAGATTTTTTTTTAATCTTTGTATTAATATTTTAAAGGGGAAATAGTAGATGTAGGAACTGGGATTTAAAGCTTGCTGATTAATTATCAACACCGAAGAGGAGAGTGTTAACATTAATTTCGGTCCGATTTACAAACCTTACCGAAGCTACGTTTTCAGTTGTGTCTTAGATGAATGTAAGAGTGGTGGCAAGGCTTCTGGCAAGGGGATCGTCTTCTATTTTTAGTGTGGTTTATTATTTATTCTTCATCGGAATTTCTTTCAATTACGCATTTTCTGGGAAAACGTAAAGAGAAAGTTTAAACGCGTAAATTTCCATGGTGACTGTAGCTAGGCAAGTTGAATAGAAAATATTCAATTTTGGCAATTTTTAGAAAAATAAACTACGAAATTCAATTCAACTCATTCGGCCCTTTCGGATAATTGACCACACATAGCACTAAATCCTCCGTTTTATGGAAAAAAACAATCAACCGGCATCAAATGGCGGCAATAATAACTCTCACACGCCTTCAGCTTTGTCCAACCACCTGGGACCACCTCTCGATGCTGTCAAGAAGGCCCTCACGGATCCCAGGATGGTCAGGGATGACCGTCCTCCGACTCAGCAGCTCCCGACGCCGAGCGCATCGCACATGATACTACAAAATGTAAGCGAAGCCCATCACAAAAATCCTCGCCGACAAAAGTTCTGTAAATCTGGCGAGGTCGTGTCTTCATCACAAGCGCGGACCCAAAATCACTCTAGGCTCACATTTCAAAATATCACACACACATTCACTCTCAGATGATAACATTCATTAGAAAATAGTGATCTCATCTATTTCCATTTTGTTACTCGAATTTATTTATTCATAATTACCATTAACAAAAAAACAAACATTCACTTAGTTGCCAGGGTTTCCTTATTTACATCTAAGAAATCTATTAAAACAGAAATGAAGCCGCTTTCGTCCAATCTCGATGTTAAGTGGAATTTTTTATTTGTTTACATTGGATTTGGTACAATATGATTGTATCTAATCTGGTTTTCTGCCCGTTTTCTTCCTAGAACATCTCAGTTTCGTGTAACACGGTTAGGATGAGAGGTCCGTTACGTGTCATATTGCATTTTTTTATTGATTTTTATTTTTAATGCGTTTTATTTATGATTTAATATAGCCCAAATGTTTAAAACGGTTACGAAGTACTCTATTCTTTTAAAAAAGTGCCATTTTTATAAAATAATACAGGAAATATCTTAAAAATTGGCATATTCTAGTTTTTTTAAAAATATTTCACAAATATAAGATCAATTTTGTAAAAGATCCTGTATCATTAAATGCGGCTAATTTGGTTTTAAAATTCATAAAATATAATTTAATAAAGTAGACAAAAAAATCTATTTTTAAAATTGCGAATTTGGACAATTCACAGGAATGCTCTTGAACGGTCAAAATTAGTAAATCCCAGTTCATTAAAAATAAATGGTTCTATGATACAGTTCTAAATGTAGCAGTTGGCAAAGGGTGGAACTTGTTTACAGACTTAACTTCTCAAGTTTAAAGACCTTTACGGCGCAAATTCTTCATCTGAATTTTCTTCCTATTGCCATCAAAACAGATAGGAAAAACTAACGTTTAGTATTTTTAGGTATAGTTAGCTTTTGCTTTTCTCTTTGTGGTGTAAAACTGTGATTATCAAATATTTGAAAACAGCTTTTGTTCCAATTGAGATTGGATCAATTAACGCGAATACTTGTTCGCTTTAGTTCGAACAAAATAATCTTAAGGGGCCACTGATTCACATATTACCTTAATCGGGTTGAATGAATACGAAAATAGCTATTGGAAGTAGATTGAATTTTTTGGAGACTGGTACTGACTGTTACTGCGATTCCGTTGCTGCTTGAACCTGATTGCGGTTCAAAAGTAGGCAGTATTGATAGCTTATAGGTGGGGGAGCAACAGGTTTTCTGCTGTTAGTTGGCAAGTATTCGTTCTTTGAGCAGGAGCCCCCGATTGCCCGCCGTACCGTTAACGTTTGCCTCCAAATGAACAAAAATGCCCCCCGAGTTAGTAATTTTTTATTTAATTTTTACAATTAAAATTGAATTAAATCGGAGCTTCGTTCTCAGTGATTTCCAAGTAAAAGCGCTCATGTATGACTGAGTTCGCTAGCATGTACATATGTTCGAATGCAGTTATGTATCCTGATAATCTTATCCCGTACAGCGTGCTTATTTACTCGTACTTTTTGTTACCTTAAGAGGTATTAAGTTTTAAGCTTTAGTGCCTTTCTTTTCACTATATTAGTAGCGAAGTTTTATCATTTTAAATTTTTAATTAAAAAAAAAAAATTGTAAGATTCCATTTGCACATTTTGGCCTTTGTTACAATGTAACAACAGAAAAAATGTATAACAATAATTATTATGTTTTGTCGACTGTGTATTAAAGTCTAACAGTTGTACACTAATTATATTTTGTTTTTTGGTAGGCTTTGATTTAAAATACGTACATACGTATGTAACGATTGTTAATTGTGGTCAAATACGAAGACGTTGATAATTTTCAACCTCGACAAGGTCGCTTTTTAAACGGCAACGCTTTATCCCTTATACGGTAAGTGGGTTGACTGTATCAGACACAACAAGAAAACCTCCAGTACAAAACCTTTTTGAGCATCAGTTCATTTACGACAACGTAGAAAATTTTCAATATAATTCTGCGTATTTTATTTGATTTTTTGTTTGCTTTTCGGGGGAGTGAAAGAATTTTATTTTCTGGCCTCTGGCGGACGGATTTTTCATTCAAACCGAAAGTACTGTTGAACATTCATTGTATCCGAGAAAATTTTTGTTTGTTTGATTTAGGATTGTCTGAATGACGTTGTGGAATGTAGTCAAATATTTATTTTTTGTCTTTCCACGATTTTTGGACACAAAAGAACGCGCTAATAAATTGTATAGAGAATCTCGTCAGACACTTTACTGATATTTATTTTCATTGGGTTGACAAATTATTTTTACTATATTATAAATTGAGCATTTCTGTGAATTATGATGGTTGTGTTGATGTTCTCTAGATAAGTAATATTCAAGGAAAGTTCATTTATCGGCCCACTGTTAACAGTTTATTTTAAATTTTAAGAAATATAGTTTTGCTTGATTGATTTTTGCTTGAGCTGGTCTGCAAAAATTGTAATCCATTATATTTAGTGGTCTGACTGACCAAATTACTTCTTTCAATTAATTAATATTTTTATGTAAGGTCTTGGTTGAAATGAAAACCTAGTGTCACGAGCGGGATTCGAACCCATGAGCCTTCGGCTCGTGACACAAGCTTTTTCAATTCAACCAAGACCTTACATAAAAAGATTAATTAATTGAAAAACTTAATAAACCTACATCACACCAGACCGTATCTCACGATCTCTAAATAATCATAGATATCTAATTAAATTTAAATGTATCTGTGTATGTTCGTTGACTATACAATCTTAATTTAATGTGTATGTTCTCTATTGCGTTGATGCGGACAAGCACTGTAGAAGCAAGTCAAAATTTACGGTTATATCTTTTAATATATGTTTTATTGTAATTTTTACAGTAGTATAATTTATATTGAATATATAAAACAATAATGATAATAAAAATGTAGATATTTAAGCGTTGACTTATCTATTAGTTGACTATCAGAACTGTATAGTCAGTTTTTTATGTCCGACAATGATAATATAAAAAAAAGTATTTTATGATTAGATAGAACATAGAAGGGGGGAATCGGAGATTGTTTTTCGTCGCAGAATGGAAGGACGATCGGTCGGTTTTACTGATGGTTTAAAAGGGGATTTTCCACCGAAGTCGGTTGATTTTCGTTTTCCCAGCAATCGGTTGAATTGAGAAACGGCAGTTATTCCGGAAGACAGTCTCTGTTGCAGCACGGAGCGGGCCGAGCGTTCTCGTTTGCACGAGAGAGGCACTTCTGCAGAACGGCGGTATAAAAGGAGCCATAGGAGATCGCCAACATCGCGTAGACGGCATAGGAGACACAGGTCGTCTAAGCACCGGTCTTCCAGGCGCAGGTCCTACGAGGAGGACTTTTCGAGCCCCAATCGCCCTGAGGTGAGTTAACTTGAATCAAATTCTTAGGTAACCTTATATGAGACACGTCATTGCTAAGAGGATTTCTTTTTTTTTCTCCCGATTTGTGCCAAATACCACACGGTCAACTCACTCAACACATTATTAACAAGCGAAAGGAATTGTTTTATCTCATCTCTCCCCCTTTTCCCCTTGTATCACGGAAGTCTCATCTAGGAATATAAAAACAGCTCCATTATCCGCCGCCCTTGTTTGAAAGAAAGAGACGGTTAAATCGGAGGCAATATAAATGGTAGTTTGGCGTAACTGTTGGACACTCGCCCTGAGTTTGTTTTATTAATAGATAAGGGAGCGAGTTGGCAGTGCCGTCGTGTTTTTGAGGGAAGGAAGGTGCAGGCGATAGAATGAGAGCCGAGGGATGGGATCCAGAAACGAGGGAAGGTCTTCTAGATACTCGAGATCGTCGACGGTTAGTGTCGCTCAGCTTTTCACCGATTCGTGTTCCAACCTGATACAGAGGATCGCCTCACGGGTCCGAGGGCCGTCCGCGAGTGCCGACACCCTCCATAGATCGAGGAACAAAGCGGAAGACGAGACGCCCCTATCTATGCGTAAACCGACGGCACCCCTACCTCCGGAAGACGAACCTTCCACCTCCACCACCACCTCCACTTCCAGGAGCATGCGGTCTAACTACAACGGATCACTCGCGAGAAGTACTACGAACTCGTCTCTGGCCGGCAGGAGGAAGCACACAAACGACGACGACTATTCCAAGCGTTGGATGACCGATAGCGTCTACAGACTGACCAGTGTGAAAAAAGAGAAGAATCACAGCCCCCTGAGAGAGGAAAGGAGGCGTAGAAGAGCTGCCGAAGACGCCACGAGGAGAAAAAGTGCCACGTCCAATTTGCCGAAAGAAGAAAAACTAGCGAGGAGCGCAACGACGGTAGTCTTGGCAGAAAAAGCGTACCCATATGTCTCCACTTTGCAGACCCAGTCGCCCCCGGGACAACGCGAAAAGACTCCCTTCAGGAGACGGCGTTTACGTCAAAACGACGTCGTCGTCGATATCCAGACAGACGAAGGACAAATGTCCGAACGGGCCGCGAAACGAAAAGAAATCCAGTCACTCATATTGAAATACTGCACTGTTGACGACGGTAATACGACAAATCATCAACAGCCTCAGCAACAACAACAGCAACAACAACAACATGTCACCGTTTTAGAAAAGTGCCAGCAAAAATACTCGTCTTTTTTGAATCCACGCGTAGCCGTAAGTCGCTTTAAGTATCTCGCTTTGTGTTTAATTTTGGGAAAAGTCTCAGAAAAAAATTGGGCAACACCCCCTCCCCCGCCCATCTTTATCCCGAAAATAAACCGATGAACCTTGTAACGAATTCCATACCCTTACAGTTTGTACCTATATTTATGCACAACTTGTGAATAAATATAATCTTTCCAATCTATTAAAAAATTATAAAATCGATTAAAAATTAATTATTTCAATTAAATAGGTCAATTATGGCTGCTAAACATATAAGGATCAAAAAGTGATATCTTTTTTCGTCTGTTAGTAATTGTTGTATTAAGTGCAATAATTTAAACTTGTATTTTATATTTTTTTTAATAATAAATTTATAAAATCATTTATAATTTTAACATAGCAGTTGAGATAATTTTTTATCACTATAATATTTACATACTTTTATATAACATAATACTTTTTTAAATAATATATTAAAAAATAAATATATTATCTGATATATTAAATGTAAAGGCTATTGATTAATGCCAAATAAACGTAAATTATTTACCTAATTGCTTTTATATTAAACAAGAAAACGTTTTTGTTCTGGTTAAAAATTGTTTAACAGTTTTATTAATTCATAAAAGATCTAACATGTATGTAGGGGTGAGGGGAGGGTGTTATACTGTTGAGTTCATCCCTCATTGTTATTAGAAAAACATAAATTCTTGACAGCTTAATCACTTGCATTTCGTAAATTCATTTTCAAACTTTCAAACATTGTTTGTTAAAAAACAATCAATTTAAAATTTTAAACAATTTAATTATTCAATTAAAATTTAATTAAATAAATTATTTTTTTATTATTTAATAAAAATACTTAAACAGTTAAATATTTGACTCTAAAATATATAATTCAATCTAGGCTGTCGTTTTTGTTGAACTAAAACACTAATTTTCTTTAAACACCTTTTAAAGGTATATAAATAAAATTGCATAAAACGAATTCCTTTAATGCATTTTGGGCCACATTCCGAGTCCCTCTTCAAAACTACAATTTTTTAAAATATAATCCACAAAATCTTCATTTTATCAAAACAGTTAAAATCAATATTTATGTACATACCTTATTATTTGAGCTAAGTAAAACTCAGATAGATTCGAAAGATTTCATAAAAGGAAGGGGGCACTTGCTTATACATAACTACAACCTAGATTGAAAACTTTTACCACCAAACTAATACCATAAGAAAATAATTAGAATTACATAATTCAAATTTCGCTGTAATTATTGAAATAGTGCTACTAACTGCAATCAATCTTTCCTCCTATACATACATGTTTTTGCAAACCCGTCATTTATTAATAACCATTTCTTATTTTAATCATTTTTGCTATTGAGAAAATATCTAGTCTTGTTTTTAAATACCAATTACAATTATACCAATTACGAAAACATGTACGTACATGTGTAAAAATAATGTAAATTTTGCTTAAGTTTTCTACATATCCATATATATTTACATATTAACTATGTAAGTCATGTCTTGTGTTCTAGCATTGACATTCTATATGTTTTAAATAGTTTACTTAAAAACATAATAAATATTTACTGTATTGGAACGTGTTTTATGATATTCGTTAAATATTGTATAAAAACAGGAAAATATTTATTAAAGAACATAAATTATATAATGAGGAATGGAGATTTTTAATGAATTTTTTTCTGGGGCTGTTTTTTCTATTCCTTGCATGGACGTTTTGATGTTTCCTAATATCGCTAATACTAAGTCATTTTTAAAATAAAAAGGTTGAGTTTCTTTTTATTACTCCTAGATAGTTATATCTTTTACAAGAAAGAATTGTTAGCTATGGTGAAAAAAAGAATGCATGCCGATAATTTTGTCCCAAGAGATCATGGAAACCGGTCTGATCGCAGTGAGATCTATTTTAGTTCTGTGTTGAGTGAGTGTGTGTGTGTGTCGGTTAGTGTGTAAGGCCAACTATGTTGGGAACACACAATCTCACATTTTTTGTTGCTTCTAATGTGGTAATGGCACGTTTCATTTGTTTTACTATTTACCTTTAATTTTTTTACATCCACTTTATTTCACATTGTGAGCCTAGTGTGTTGTGCGTGTGATGTGGACACCCAAAAGAAAATTCACAGTTTTTATTTTATTTTGAATTCAATTTTTTCTTTTGGCATAAAAAATTGTTTTATGAGCCGTAGTCTTGTTAACAAAATGTTGTTAACGCGGCAAACGTATGCCTTTTTTTCTCCCCTCTGTCTATGAATGTTGGGCGGCCTCTCTCGCTGGGTTTTGTTGGTGTGGCCTTTGGTGGTGCGCAATCGCGGATGATGACACACACACCTTGGTGGAAACGATGGCATGGACTGTGATGATCTCGCGGTATCTACGAATCTATGATGACATTGTATGGTCCTGAAATAACTCCTTCTCCGACTGGTGGACAGAGCCCAACTACCAGAGCGCCTTCAATCCAAGACGATAGTGACGGCCACCTGATATACCGCCATGGGGACATACTCCAGAGCAGATGTTCGTGAACCATTATTGTAGTAATGTACCATTAACAAAGACCCAAACCACCGTTCTGCAAGTTAATTCTTGTATACAATTTACATATACATATTTATTTATAAAATCATATTATTTATACAAAAGATACCAAACTCCCTCCACAAATTTCATTCTTTTTATTTTATGTAATTTGCAGAAAATTTATCTTTTCATTATTTTCCATATAGACAAAATGAGTTTTTTGTTGTTTTTCTTTTCTATTTCTATTTTAAACTTGTCTTATTTTTTAATATCATGAAAATTGATATTCTTTATTCTTACTATAAAAAATGACTATGTGTTCAAATTAATTAGTCAGAAAAAATTAATTTGGACAAATAGATTTTTTTTATGACAAGTACTTTTTTGGTTGTGTACGGCCTTTCCTAACAGTGGATTTTATAAACAAAAAGGTGAAAAATTTGGTGTACAATCATATTCCAAAATTTAAATTTCAATAATTTACGTAAAGCAATTCCTTTCATATAGGAGACCTTAACATCCAACTTGCAATTGGATGTCAAACCACATATTTTTAGTTTTATAAGTACATATTTTTTGATATGTTCAATTAAAAAGCCATGGGCTTTGCCGGAATTCAAACCGAGAACTTCTAGCATTGCAAGTACAAGTTTGAGCCCTTTATCACTTGTCCACCGCAGCCCCTAACATGCATACAAAATTATCTTATAACATTTTGGCTTGTTAAATTCATTTTTCAACACTTTCACAAAACCAATCTGTTGAAAAAATGTACTTAACTTCTTTTCAACCCACTCAGTTAATTTAAATGGAAACATTTGTTAATTTTCTGTTACTTGTTCCTTTCTTACTGCTAGCCTAGTTACAGTCGTGTAATATATTGATATTTTCTTTTATAATAGGGCATTGCAATTGGGGACCACAGTAGTCGAGTGGTTAGCGAGTAAGTCTCGGCTTGAAGACCCCGCTATCATGGGTTCGATTCCTATTGTTGCCTCTAGATTTTTTTTCAGGCACTCCTTCCTCCCAAAAAAGTATCAACCAGCATTCTTTGGCTAGTATGGAAAAAACATTTAGTTTACTTTACAAATTAAACCTACTTGTCCAGAAGGGAAAAATTCAAGATCATGTGAACTAATGAAACTACAATTCAAAATATTTTTTGAAATTTAATTTTTCCCTTTTATATACATTTTACCACTCTAATAAATCCACTGATAGATAAACCTAAATAACCAAAAATAGTAAAGTTTTTGCTTTAAAATATTGGAAAAAAAACTGCATGAAATTTAAGGGGACGGAAAGGGGAAGTAAAATGTTAGGGTAAATCTTCTCTAAAAAGAAAGAAAATTAGCTTATTTATTATTTTTCATTGTTGTATTTTTTCTTTCATTTTACCCTTTAACAGACAAGATCCAGGCAACTTTAGGAGAAGGAACGTTTGGAAAAGTTGTCAAAGTTAAAGACCTTCAGACGTAAGAAATTAACATTTTTATGTTTGAAACTGTTATGAATGTATAGATATATTTTTTTTTTCCAGAGATGAGATCTATGCTTTAAAAATTATAAAAAATGTTGAAAAGTACAGAGATGCAGCAAAACTCGAGATCAATGTACTTGAGAAACTTGCTGAGAAAGATCCTATGAGTAAACAGTGAGTTTCTTATGTTATGTGAAATAAATCATGTAATGAATTATAATCTTATCGTCATTTGTAGCTTGTGTGTACGAATGATTCATTGGTTTAATTATCATGGGCACATCTGTATAGCATTTGAGATGCTTGGTCTCAGTGTTTTTGACTTCTTGGTAAGTTTTGAACAAATATTAATTTTTCGTTCGATAATTCTGAACGTTAATTTTAGAAGGAAAACAACTACCAGCCGTACACTTTAGATCAAGTCCGTCATATAACATACCAGGTGTGCTACGCAGTTAAATTTCTTCATGACAACCAACTGACACACACTGATCTCAAACCAGAGAACATTTTACTTGTAGATTCAGAGTATGAAGTTGTTTTCAACGGAAAAAAGGTAAAGTGGATTGCTTGATTTTTTTCTATTGCAACTTGTAATACTGTCATACTTTCATCACACACACCATCTTTATACACACAGCATTACCTTAAAAAAGTCAATACAAAGGACAAATTTATTTAGTATTTTATTTTGATTTTGATAATTTTTTGGTGGCATTTATTGATAATTAATTTTTATTTGTCTTTTAACGCGGAATCCAATGTTGTTTACAATGTTTCTCTCTCCTCTCTCTCTCTCTCCCCTCTTTCTTTCTTTACATTTTTAATAAGTCCTACAGTATGAAGGGGGGCATCATGATCATGATTTTCCTACTCAATTATCAGAGTTGGGGGGAAAATTGTAAGCAGGTGCTTCTTGCTAAGCAATATTTTTTATGTAGGATAATTTGGGGTTCCAAACTTACAACTTTTTGGAAACTTATTTTAGAAACTATTCCTAACCTATGCTTAGCCAGGGACACTTAAAATTAATGTCACAGAAAAAGAAATTTACCTACTGTCACACTTGTGTTTCCAATTGATACTGCTACTGGTAGAATGCTGTGGAAACTGTATATTAAAAAATAATAGCATATAATGTTGTTTTTTATATTTATTTAACGCATGGTTTAAAATACACAAAAGAAATGCCACATGCTTATTACTCAAATCACCTGCGCCCGACAGAAGGTTAAACACTTTAGAAACAATATTTAATCAATTTTATGATTATGTCAACATTTCAATCTTTACTGAGATCATCTTCAGGGCCTGGGATTTATAAACATTGTTTAAATTATACAAATACATGTAAGATGTGAAAAATGACACATCTACACAGAAAACAAACACTGAGTGAGTACAAATACTTTGAGTCTAAAATTTTTAGCATTGTATAAATTCATTTTTTCACATCCTACATGTATTTGTATAATTTAAACAATGTTTGTATATCCCAGGCCCTGAAGATGATCTAAATAAAGATCAAAACATTGGCATGATAAAGAAAATGTTTTTCTAAACCTACGCCACACCAGACCGCATCTCACGATCTCCAAATAATCATTAATTAATGGTCACTAAATACACAAATAATTGTAATGTTGTAAAGTGGAGTGAGATAATTAAATATTTTTAAAAGAAATTTTTCCCTCTTCTAGAAAAGAGATGTGAGGAGGTTGAAAAATTCTGAAGTTCGACTCATTGACTTTGGCAGTGCAACCTTTGACCACGAACATCATAGCACTATAGTGTCGACGAGACATTACAGAGCCCCTGAAGTCATACTTGGTAAATATCACCTTTTACCAACCATTTGGCTATGTACTGAAGTCTTAATGTCATTTTAATCAACAATTATTCTCTTTAAGAGTTAGGTTGGTCACAGCCGTGTGATATTTGGTCAATTGGGTGCATCATGTTTGAGCTATACCTTGGAATTACACTGTTCCAAACACATGACAATAGAGAACATCTTGCCATGATGGAACGAATCCTGGGAACAATCCCGTACAGGTATAATAATACATCATAAATAAATATTATTGAAACATTTTTCAGATTTGTGTCAATATTTTTAAAAATAGAAAATGATTACATTGCTTGATAACATAATATTTCATTTGAGATAGTAGGGTGAAATCTGACACAAATTTTGGATGACTAATTTTGCCCTACATTTCAGCTAAATCAATTTGTCAGTATATTAAATTTATAATAAATAATAACAATAATACCTTTTTTTTTAGAATGGCTAGGAAAACAAAAACTAAATATTTCTATCATGGTAAATTAGACTGGGATGAAAAGAGTTCGGCAGGAAGATATGTTCGTGATAATTGTAAACAGCTCTATGTGAGTCTATTTATTGTTTTATTCTCTTGGACAAAAAAACAAAACAAAAAACATGACTATTTTAAAAACGAATTTCTATTATTTAGAGGTATATGATGAGTGATGATGATGACCACAAACAACTTTTTGACTTGATCAGCCGGATGCTTGAATATGATCCAGCTGACCGAATCACGCTGGCCGAAGCACTTAAGCACCCTTTCTTTGACAAGATTCCCCGGGATAAGAGATTCAGTGACAAGCACGATATACGTGATTCCATCAAAGACACAAGGAGTCATTCGTTAAGCAGATGAGGCAGATTTCTGCCAGTTACCTACTGGCCAACTAGTGAAACTTCGCTCCAGGAACCTCAATACTTGTCATGATGAGATTCCTACTTACTTTTTGTAAATATTCTATTTAATTTAAATCGTTTTCCCACCGACGAAAAAGATTAAAACTTTTTTCGGGTACATTATTGAAGGGAACCGATGAAATAAGGAAAGTATATAAAAATGCAATTTTTAGAACTTAGAACGATTAAGATTTTTATATAATTACACAAAACACTGAATAAATGTAAAATACACAATATTAAAACAAATTTTAATGCTATTTTAATTGTATAAAGGTTATAATGATCCCAAAATGAAATTTTTCACTGGGAGAAAGAATACTTTTCCTGCCTTAATAATTTTTGTCGTTTTTAATTATTATTAATAACAATGATTTTACTTTCTACATTGGAATATTTGTATAGAACATTGATCGATGCTGCTGCAAATTTTTGAGTATAGTGAGTCATAATTTATTATTATATTTTTTTTTTTGTAATGGAAATACGTGGGAATGAAATCTCTGTACTTTTTGCATAATATTGTAAATAGTGATTTTATTATTTTCTTGCTCTTCAATTTCATTCCTCCCAATAATTTCATTCTTTGAAAATATACTTGTTCTATTTTGTTAAAAAATTTCATTTTCTCCCGTTATTTATTTCTGTAAAGTTAGAGAAGACAATGTGTAATATTTTAAATTACAAAATTATATTCCTAATATCTAGCAATTAATGGCGGTCCACAAATTACGCATGTCTGTTAAAAAATTGTTCTCATTTTTTTGTTTTGTTTGAGTTGGCAGTACAATCAGGTTTTGGTGAATAACAGGTTTGTATAACATTACTCAAACATAAACTAGGGTGGTAAACGTAAATAATGGACTTCGAATTCAATAAAACCTAACGTGTTACAATCTTTTTAAAGTATCGACCACTTTTATACTCATGAATAACTTTTATCTTGATATGGTTATGGATAAAAAGACATAAATTCAGTTGTCAAATGCCAAGGTTTCAACCTATTTTAAGGTCATCATCAGGGCAAAACATTCTTAAAGTTATCTACAAATTGGCATGATTGTATTTTTAATAAATGGTTTCAAATTTCTTTGAACGGGGCATTGGTGGCCGCAATGGTTTAGGCATTGACACTGCACATGCACTCATCATGATAAGATAAAAGTCCCAGCTTCAAATCCAGCAGCCCTGAATTTGAACCTGATGTAATTACATTTTTTTTCCAAAAACACTAGCGCCCTGATAAAAAAAATAGACTCAGTCCCAACATGCAACCTTAAATGATCTAAAATAAGTCAAAATCTTGGCAGATAACGATTGATTTTTTTTCAGACCATACCAAGATCCAGATGATTTGTTACAATCTTATACAATTGCTTAATGTTGATTTATAACCTATGAATAAAAGCATAGGCATCAACAAAAAATCTCAAGGTGATTATCTTGGTGTTTTTCTGGTTTTAAGAGTTTAAACATTCACCCCCAATCAGAAGTTAAGGCAATTTTACATGTGCTTTTTCCCTAAGTAAGGATTAATTAAGTTTGCTTAAACACGAAAGGAACATTTTTACTGAAATTCTGAACCTTTCAGTATGTATTTAATTTAATGATTTATGTCATTACATCACTGAGAGAACCATCTTCAAAAATGGTATACTTGTCTAGTTAAATGAGGAACATGTAAATAATTTTATTCATCTTATCAACTTTTGTGCAATAGTTGTTTTGTTAGAAAAATTGTGCAATCTAGAAGATAATAAAAGAAAATGTTGATAGGAAAATGTTGATAGTACTGAATACCACAGTTGGTTTCATAACAAACAAGAATATAGATGTTGGATTCAATAACAGAAATTCTTCACATTCTCATCCAATTGGGCAATAAAAATAGTACTATCATTTATATTTATGCATAATAAACATAAGAAATTTAAGCAAGTCTTAAAACTCAATTTATTTAGTGAGAAAGAGGTTTGGTTAATGCTGCTTGACCTAATTGTAGATCTATTTATGTCTAGTGATCTAATTGACCAAATTATTCATTTTTATGTAAGTTCTTGGTGTAGATGAAAAAGTTAGTTTCATGAGCGGAATTTGAACCCATGAAGGTCCCTCTGGCATAAAAATTAATAATTAATTGAAATAACTAATTGTAGTATAAAATAAAAGCTCTTAGCACGAATATGGCACAAGTTGCAGAAACATTGCAAAGATTGAAAAATATAAGGATATTCTTTCCGATGTGGCTTAAATAAAAAAAAAAAAAAAAAAAAAAACAAAATATGCATATGTACATGTGAAATGTACTGTAAAAGAAAGGTTAACTCTGAAAGTGTATTAAACCACTTATGAAGAGGAAAAAGTGACCAGTTTACAGAATGTCAAAACGTATTTCATGTTTTGCAAATGGTAAAATTTAATTAAAAATTGTAAAATTATGTCCATTTTATTTTTTATTTATAATTTGGTAACTATTATTAGAGATTACAGCTGGTAGAGGTAGAACTTTTTTATGAGGGTATATGAATACCCTTTAAGTACCTTTAATTGAAATTAAACTAAGAGGCTATATGAACCCTTTTTTTAAAGAATCGTATAAGGAATCAAATAAAAAGAAAACAATTTGATCAAATTTGGGTGCCAGGCATAAGACAAAGAAATGAGAAAATAGGAAAAGACTCCCCTTAGTTTAAATCATAAAAAATAAGATTAATGCTCACGACTAGTCAGCGTAGGCGAGGTAAGGTTTGCATATCAGCAAGAAAAATAGGTAAACAAGGAAAATAGAAAATAACATAGAATAAGGTAATAAGGCAAGGTATAATTAACAAATCAGTACAACACTCGTGATAATTGGTAGCAGAGTGAGTCTGGAGCCTTGGACCGTCCAGTCTGGGGGGACAGCTAAGCTTCGCTTGGCCAGGAGAGGTGTGTCATCTCTTAAGGCACTTTTTTACAGTATGTTAGGTTCACTAGGTTCAAACCCGGGTCCTTTACCTTACCGTGATGACTGCCATGTATTGTCTAAACTGTTGTAGACACAGACACCCCCTTACAGTACATAGTAAGATAAAACTAAATATACTAGTAGCAGCCTAATTAGAAATTAAATATAATGATGAAAACCCGATCCAACACACACCTGCACATCACATACATGTAGACGATTCTTCTGCGACTTCTTGTGGCAACCAAGCAATTCCTGCTTTGTGCAATTTAAAACGAAATAGAGCTCATGAGAATTACATGCAGTCTGAGGTGAGACCTAGTTAGGCTCTAGCAGCTACCAACAGCTAGGCCATTCCAGCTACCACTGCATCAGTTTTTGTCATATTCACTCTTAAATACTCAGTCTTAATCATTTATATACCATTCACTCAGAGTGGTTGAGTACTCAATATTTCTCCATCACCCTCTACACATATAACTATTCCAATTGAGGGCCAACGGGGTACTCATATTCTGCCATCAGTCCTCTCACATTATACATTCACGTCAATAAATATATTCATTTTCAATTTACGCAAAGAAAAACACGACGAGATATCTATAAAAGTACTATATACAGTAAAACAGTTGTTTCCTCCAAAAATAAGAACATAGGACTAAAATACTTGCTGCCGCTCTCAAACACAATCCTCACATCAGTTGGCATTCCTGCCCGCTTGCTATATAGAGCCAAGGAATGATGATCCTCAATTAAGTGAGATACATCAAGCAACCTTTCTCTGCGTGCCGGTCACACGCGGGCTTTGGCCTAAAAGTAAGTGTTCTTTGTGAAGTGAATATGAGCCCCTTTTTCTGTCCAAATTTTCCGAGGCCACCTATCACCGATATCCATCTACCGACACTATACTAGTAAATAATACCATAATTAATGATAAAAAAAGATAATTGTCGTATGAATGTAGACTCTGAGATGGTATGAAAAATTTAAAATTATTTCTATTTGGAGGATAAACATTAACGAAAATAAATGCACCTATTTTACATATATCTTACGAAGCAAAACCCCTCACACAATATTCCTCAACAACATTTCTGTTCCTAAAACTGTGTACGTTACCTTGGGTTCTATCTTGACGTACGTTGAATCTGGAACGGAACAGACACATACAAATTAAAAAAAGAGACGCTACGGACTACTCTATAAACTTTTTGACTCAATTCGACCATATCGACAAAAAACAAACTGACCCTCCAAAACCTAAACCTCCAACAATTTTCTCTCTTTTCCCTAATAATCCCGTCTATAATAGTCCTGAAAGGCTGACCATTACCCCCTTTTTTTTCCATTGTCGTCTCCTTCACCTCAAAGAAGCCGACTTCTCATAGAAAAATTATTTATAAATTCATATTAATATCTTATATTTATTTTCATAATTTAAACAATTTTTTTAAATCCCAGGACCTGAAGATGATTTCAATGAAGATGGATACATAAATCCATTTATGTTTAGTGGTCTAATTGACCAAATTATTTATTTCAATTAATTATTCTTTTTATGTAAAATCTTGGTTGAGATGAAAAAGTTAGTGTCTCGAGCGGGATTCGAACCGACGACCTTCCGCTCAATAAGCCGCTACTCAAGAAGGTTCAAATCACTTGAGTCACGATAGCCCAAGTGGTTAGAGTTGCCGAAGGTCGTGGGTTCGATTCCCGCTCGTGACACTAAATTTTTCATCTCAACCAAGACTTTACATAAAAATAATAATCTGAAAGATCGAAACATTGCCAGATAAAAGAAAATGTTTTTCTAAGCCTACATCAAACCAGACCGCATCCCACGATCTCTAAATTATACACTAAATTACGTTACAATTTTTGAGACCTTTTTTCACAGTATCGTTAACTGAAATTGACTTAAAATATTAGCTCTGTCTTATCTTTATAATTAATTAAATGTCTACTTGAAGTGAAGTTGAACCTTTAAATTTACGCATTTACTTCACCGTACACGACCTATTTATTCTCTGTAATATTTTTATGTAAACTTAATTGTAAAATACTAAAT